CCTCGTAACAAGGCACTCTGCCTGAACTATCTCTTAAAAGAAGGTATCTCTTATCCAAACAAGATTACTGAGAGCAGCTGACCAGTAGTACTTTTGGTGTATCAGAGCAGCCAAAACATCCCAAAGCCTCATCCTGAGCTTTTGGTGCCAGTGGACGTGGCCAGTAACCTATCCTGTTTCCCCTTTAGAGCCCAGCTCAGCCTTTGGTATCTTTACTGAGTGACACAATGAGCAAATGCATACGATGAATCATGCAAGCTGTTTCTTTTCTGGTCCTCACCAAGCCACCCTAAATTCACTTTTTAATCCTTGACTGCTGACATTCAAACACAATCTCACTGCAGTAGATAGTTGAAGTATACTGAAGGGACTGTGCCGACTGAGAAACTTACCTTTCGACTTTCAGAAAACCCTTTTCAAAGGTAGCTGTCCTATTGAGGGGACCAGGGGGAAAAAGCCAGATTTGATCTTGGAAAAAAAAACTTGTGTCTTTTGCTATGGCTAAAGGCATTCACCGTATGTAGTTCTACAGCCCTTTGTAGTCTGTTTTATACTGTACATCTGTAATACTCAAAAAAGCAGAGCAACGACATTCTTTCAATACCTTCTGAATTCCCTCAATAAAATCTTTTCACAAACAGGTTTAATAGCTAATCTTTGTCAAGCTTAAGAATCCCAAACACTAACAGATTTTAACTACTTAAATTTTAGAATTGGTCCTTTTCGCAGTTTCATGTCACTCTAATGTGTTGAAGTTAAAGGTATTTCATTTTGTTAGTTAGTTAAGGAAAACAATATAATGGATCCATCTTGATTGGAAACCAGCAATGGGCATATTTGTGGCATTGGGGTTGCATCAGGACCTCCCGTTGTACCCAAATGGCAATAAATTGAGTCCCATTGGAAATAATACATACCCTGGGACTGAGCCCCCTAGTGGACTACTGATGTGTAGCACTGAAATAGCAGAGATTTGAACCAGAAAGGGTATGCTTCAGTTTGTCCAATTGGGTGAAAAGGGGCCCAATGGTTAAGTTAGAAACAGTGAAGAACAATAATGATTCAATACTGAAGTGAAAAATATTGATAGCATTTAATCACCAAAGATATAAACATCTAGATATCCATTTGTAATGTGACTGACAAAATCTTTACAAAGTTAGCCTTCATGGTCTGCTGACTGCATCACATCGTCTGTACAAAAATGAGGTGGCATTGGAGACTGGCACAAAGAGAGGAAACTGTAAACGACGTCAGCAAAATGAAAAGCAAAGTTACATCAAAAACATTCACATTCTTCTCTTTTCATACTTAGTAAATGAAAGAACATGGACATACAGCATTTAGGTTTTTTTTCCCTCTGAACATATTCTTGTAAACTGCTCAGTGCACGAACGCAAGCTTCAAACACATTCAGCTCCTTTCTGTTCAATACATACATGAGCCACAATACCCAAATAAATAACAATTAATAAAATAATACATAATAAAATGAAATAAGCATTATATAAATCTGTTAAATAAACAAAGATGATTGATAAAGGAGTGTCCCCACACATGCCACTGCCTTGTATATGTTGTTACAGTCTTTAAATGCATAAATCTATTCCAGCATTTCAATGTCACTTTTTTTTTTTGCCTAAATAAATAACAGAAGTTTAATCAGGCAGTTTGTTGCTCTTACTTCTAAACTCATCTGTGCTTTTACTTGCTGCAAAAGACCTAAAATGCAAACACTGACATATAATAGGCTTCACTGAAGTCAAAATTTCAGTTTTTTCTGTTTACACACAAGTGCTCCAAGGCCTTGGCTGCAATACTCAGATCTTTCCATAGAGGGCGCCTTCACTTCTCGCCACAGCAGTGGAGAGTTGAATGTGGCCAGGAATGTAAAATATCCAACAAACTATGTACACAAATCTGTAAATTCTTTCAAAATATCATGCAAATAAATACCAGTAATTTAAACAGAACAACAACACTGACCTCAAAAGTAGTAATATATTGTCAGCTATAAAGAGTGTCACAAAATGTCTCTCCTACAATGTTCAACAGTGTTGTTTGAATAATGCAACACAACCTGAAGGTAAAACTTCAGGTCTCAGAGCTTGTTTTTGTCTGTTTTTTTTTTTTAAAGCTTTGTTTTTGCTGAGGTCTCCAAACAGTGTTGAGATTTAAATCTGCTTCTCTGTGTTCCCAGCATGCTTGGGGACAGCAGAGATGCACAACAGTAAGTTAACTGTACATAAACATTCTCTCGTTTCAGTCAGTCCTAATGGAAAAGTACACATTTCCAACAAGCTTCAAATACAGGATATACAGTGTTTGGATGGGATGAAGAAAAGAATCTGAAAGTGGAAAGATTATGTGCTTTGATTCAAGGTTGAAACACAGTGTAGAGATAAACAACGCATAGCAGACCAGCAGAACTCAATGCCGTGTCACACATCTGTCCATGAGAAGGCAGGACTGGAGGCCAGCTGTTTAACACACCACTGTTGTGGTCATTAACAGCTGTGCTGTTCTCCTTTAAAATGTTCATAAGTCCATGAAGAGCTTCCTTTCTTTGTTCCCTGACTGAGAAGTCCATTTAGAGTCAAACTCTTTTCATTCAAGCATGTCTTTCACATGGCCCGCAGGATGAACGTCCACTCATCTAACATCCAAATGTTCCTGCTTTCAAAAAGAAAAGTGCACCAAGGCACTGCAGGGTGGAACAGCGGGCAGACTGAGAGAAACAACATTTTACAGATATTTTGTCAAAAAAAGCTAAATATCCCAGTTAACTCTGATCAGATCAAATGGTAACATAAAAAGACAACGGCTGATGAATCACTGTGGGAAAATGTTTTCTGGATTTCATCAAGCAGACCTCCTGACAAATACTGCTTATGTGTTCACATCACTGTAAATGATCCGTTGTAAAATTGTTTGGTATGAGTTGTGATGCAAAAAAAATGAAATGAATATGATTAAGTAAGTCATTTCATGTCTTAACACTGCTCAAAACAAAATCCATATTTTAAAGCTTTTGGATTTAACTCTAGGAAACGGTGAGGTGAATCTCCAGCTATTTTCTTTACGTTGTTGTGCATCATTTTTGGAGATAATTAAACCTTAATGCCTGTTTTAACAACACATCACAAAGATTTAAGAGTTGTAACCATGAAAGAAATGTAAATCTGAGTGAAAACAAACATTTTCAATTCCAGTAGTAATGATCTTAATGCAGAACAGAATAGACATTTGCTCTGACTGGATTGCTACGTATTGTACTGTCATCATTATTTTAAATGTTCAGCTATCACTTTAACATCGAGGTTCACAAGATAACATAAAATTATTCTTCCACAGCGATTCATCACTTGCAGTGAGACTTCCATTAAATCTCAAGAGTCTGAAAGCATCACATACTCATAATATGACACTTAAAGCAGTTTAGAGACTACATTCCCCATACAGAAGCATACAGAAGTGCATAAATTCAAGCTAGACAAATAATGGAGATACAAAATACAAAATAAAAGAGCTTCCCCGAATCCAACAACTGCCAGTTATACTGACATCTAGCATATTATGTGCTATAATAGATATAGATCATTACGTAAATGTTATAATAAATCTATGGTCATGATCATTTGTGCTAGAATACAGTTTCCAATTATCACAGCACTACATCACTAAACCATGCAGTGGTTTGGCAGATTAATACTGTATCTTTCAAACTAAATCAGTGTAAACGTTTGATCATTTTGGTCAGTTTGAGATGTGTTTTACATCCTATACCCATCAACCGGAAGCACTTCAAGATCACACTGAGAATCTGTGGAAGCATTTCGACAAATCAAACTGCGACTTTTACAATCCTGTTAGGTATGAAACAACACTAATGTTTCACCAATGATATGTTATGAAAAGTCACACAATCTTGCCTTGCTGTACGTCTAACACTGACGTTTCTTATCATACCTACTCTTGAAAACTGTCATCTTATAATAAGTCAAAGTGCTCTAAGAAAATATTTTGGGGTAAACTGCTTTTTATCGAAATGATAGTTAGGTTTCAAGATTTAAGAGGCAGGGCGTACTTGCAGAGGGAAGTCATTCTTGGTCGTTGTTTCATATATGATACGATTTTAAGTACACAAACTGTCTTGGCAAAGGTTTAGAGGTGGATTCAAAGACACTGAAGTGAATGTAAGGTCAAGGCTCGGATCTACTGTCATGTTAAACAAAAAAAAACTGCTGAAGTTGCAGGAACTCCTCTGTGTGCAGAGACATTTACGAAAACCAGGCATGCAAATTAGAAACTGGTGCAGATCATTCATTTTGAATTTCACAAAGTTTACAAAAGCAGAAGTTTTCAGGAGCAGCCGAGCAATCAAGAGGATTGAACTGTGAAGTTCAACCTGCAGCAGATTCTATTAAAAGAAACTGTCATGCAGTTAGCTTAATGTGTGTTGTACACAATGTAGATCTTCTAGCTGCGTCAATGATATGGATGGCTAATCTAAGCTGTAAAATGTAAACTTTAATTCCACATATAGAGTAAACTACTGAGGTTGGTTTAATCCCAGGGTGATAATAAAAGATCTAAAACTCAGAACAAAGTCTCTTCAAATCATGTTTTTTTTTTTTTTTTTTTTTTTACTAATCATCAAGTGGTATCAATGAAACAACAAATGATAGCATTATGCAAAATGTAAAAATTGTATTGATTTTTTTTTACAATAATTTCTTCTCAAGTTTGTTTCTAAAGAAGGAGTGTTTTAGTGAGTAACTGATTGTTAACAGAAACTTTGTTTACAAGAAAACAAAACAGCACCTTTAAAACCTCTACTCCTATATTCTGTGGAGGGAAATATTATTAATATGTTTTTTTTTTTTTAAAGATTTATTTTGGGCTTTTTGTGCCTTTAATGCAGAGAGAGGACAGTGGATAGAGTCGGAGAGAGAGTGGGGAATGACATGTGGAAAGGGGCCACGGGTGGAAGCGAACCTGGGTCTACTGCTTGAGATGAGAGTCTCAACACATGGGACGCGCGCCCTAACCGTTGCACCACCAGCGCGCCCAATATTATTAATATGTTTAATTGAATATATGACAAGTGTAGCTTTTTTCACTTTCATAGTAAAGATTTAGTAAAATAATAGATTATGGTATCAAACAGCAGGACAAGTGAAAATTGAGGAGTTACAACATTATTCTGATGATCTAATGCATTGTGATAAGTCCAGCCTACTGTCAAATGAAAACTTTCTTACAGGAGCTTTAAGTTAAATTTGAATACTTGCTTGTTAGGTTGTATTGCTGCATTTTTGTATAGAAACTTTATATCAATTAAAGATCTCGATACTTCCGTCCACCATGTTCACCAAAAAGTAAAATTAACTTGAGTTTTTAGATCTTTTACAATTTCACCCCCAACACGCTAACCTCAAATTTGAACTGGCTTTGCCTCAGCTGGGTTATTACTCATTGGTCCATTAAAAGTACATTTCAGCTGCCTCCCTGACTTTTAAGATTGTTCTCCTGGCTGAGCCTGTGTGCTTAAATCTGAAGCATGCTTGTCCTAGTTAAACTGGCATGCACACTAAACACATTCTCCGTATTCTGTCCTCAAGCCCTGACACACCAACGAATGCATGTGCAATAAGGCAAAAAACACTGAGAGCTGATCCACTTTTTCTTTTCAGCACAAATGCGTTTCAGGGCTGTCTGCAGATCAAAAGAAGATTTAAACAGTAGCTGTTTGGCATGACCTTCAGTAGATCCGAGCCTGAACCAAAAGAGATGAAAGATGTCAGTTGGAGTGTATGTTCAGTATGTGTCAGAGATGAAAAAGAGGCAGAATAAGCTGAATTAAGAGAAGGACTCCTATGGAGGACTGCAGAGCATGACCCCGTCCACACTCTGACGTGTTTTCCTGCAACAAGAATTGACAATAAGGATTTTTTTTCAGAGAAGAACATACACATTGTAATCTTGTAACCTTGTATGCTTCATACATGGAATTTGTACCTAACACAGAGTTTATGTTTCACAGCCAACAATAACACATTGTAGAGACATCCAAAAGCACATACGAATTTCATTTGAGTCACCACAAACACCAAGAGGATTTTTCATAAGCTGTTATACCATCTGTCAAACTATTTTTACATAGTAAAAGACCAAGTGGAAAATAAATCAACACTGGAAGATGTGTGGCTTACATGTGTCGCTGAGGGCCCACATAAGCCACACATAGTTCATGCAGTTAAGTGACATATTTTATAAACCTTTACAACATTCCAGTTGAAAGTTGACATGCTCGACTCCAGTACCTTTGAAAACTATCTACCTTGATAGGGAGTTAGTTAACTTCTGTAATAATCGCAGTTGCTAAGTAAGCTAGTTGGCTATCTTGAAAAAATTGCCAGCCAAACATATTTATAGCCATTTATGTAAAACTGAACAATGCAAGCCACCAATATATGATTTTTTTTGAATAAATGTCGCAAACACTCACTCTTAATCCACTGAACATTTCTACCCAGGCAAACTTGGGTTAGTTTAGCTTGTTTAGTGAATGCCAATGTTAAAGATGACATGGGATTAGCTAGCTAGCCTACCAACCAAATTAGCAAGGTGGTGCCTAACATGTAAAATGTTAAAGAGACTTGAGAGTGGACAGAGCTAGGGCATGGAGAGAATGTGCAAAAAATGCTAACAAGTGTGTAATATTGAGTTAGCTCTCATCGTTCCCCAATGATAAACATGCACATAACATACGCATTAATTGTTTTTTATTATTGTATCTGTGAGATAATAATTTATCTATAAAATGTAGTTATCTGCTTAAAAGTGTTTTCCAACCTTATATTTCTCATTTGACACTAAAGAATTGAATATACTTATGTGTACTTACTAAGGCACTGTAGTCAAAGCAGGAAGTGGGGCCTTTACGATATCGTGCGTTGCTTAGTACTTCGCATGGATTCTCCTCCTGAACTGTTATTATTTAGTTAAGGTAAAAGTGACCTTACCTGCCACGATTGATATTTTCACTTTCAGCACCAACAAAGCCCCACAATTTGTGAGCATGAAAAGGATACACTCTGTCTTGACCTGTGTTAGTCTCTCGATCTCACACGAGCTGCAGGGGAGCGTCTCAGCGACCACAAACAGCAGGTTTGTGTTTTCTATCCGCTTGGCGTGAAACAGCCTGTGGGAGACAGTGATGGATGTTAGGCTAACTTCATAGGCTACAGTGTGTACAGTCCAGGTATGACTGCACAAACACACTGCAAACACATTCTGCTGATTCGCCCCTAAAAACACACCGTGAGCAGTTTCCACAGTCCTGCAGCACGTTGTAGGAGTTTGTGGTGTTTGTAAAGTAAAACTGGCTTTGGATGGTCACACAGCTGCTTTCCTTTGTTTCAAAACCTTCCACCAGGACATCATCTACAAAACAAACACAACACTTAATATAAAACCCAATTCAGGCTCATTTTGTTTGATTTAAATGAGACTTCATGTATTTAAAAAATTCCTGTATTTTATAGATAAATCCATCTTCAAAACAACACATTTAATTAATAGTCAGAACAAAGTTTTAGCCAAAAGAAAAATAACTAAATGCAAAGGAGCCACTTGTGAGGTTATTGTAGAAGTAACTTTTTTCATCTCTTTGTATCACTTTTATCACTAAATTCTTGAATCTTTTTAATTATGTAACTATCTATGCGTGCATAAAGGATAGTGTTAAGATTCACAAATCCACCTTGGTAGAGCCAGCTGTTGTAGGCCAGTCCATACAGTAGCTGCTGGGTCACAGACCTGTAAGAGAGTTCATATTACACTTTGTTAAAGCCCAGAGGTCATTCTGTACCCATCAACATATAACAGTTAACACAGCGACTATAACACTGAGCTTAAAATAACCAAGCGTAAACTCGGCAGCTTTCCAGCAAGAAAGAAAAGAGAATCCTTCCTGGTTTCATGTGCCAAAGTTTATTCACAGCTAAGATAGTTTTGACGCCTCACATGCTGCTGGTGTCATTTGCAGGGAACAGGGTCTCACCATGCCACTGACGACGTCCACCAGGCCATACTGAGCATGTCAGCGATGGACGGCTGCAGAAACAGACAGAAGTTACACGTGAGAGATTATCATCATATCCAGGTGATACAATGTCCTACAATCCAGCTTCTGCAGGTAGCCTCTCACCACAAAGATGCCCCTGTGTGCTGCACCGGTGTGGCTGCTGGTGATTGGCTCACACGCAGACTGGAAGTGGAAAGACTGACGCCTGTTGAAGATTGAGTTGTTGTAGAGTGCGTGCATCAGGTAAGGGTCCACATCACCAAAGAAGAGACCAATCTGTTGTAGATGAAATAAAGGGAAGACAGTAAGACAGACAATAACAGAAAGAAAGTGGATCAGGTCTACAGCGCCACACAGTGGTTCAACATGAACTAACTTAAAGTTTATTATTTGTTTCTTTTATCTGTATTTAGTTCTGTTTCATTAATTTACACTGAATTCAAGGGACTTAAAATAATAAGTGATTCTTGACCAGAAACTTATTTTAAAACCAGAAAACACTGGTTAAAGGCTTAATATGCAATTTTTTGATCCAGCAGATGTCGCCCTTGAGCACCAGCATGAATCCAAAACAACTCGCGCTGCATTGTTGTGTTAGCATGCTAATGCTAGCGATCTTTATTATGCTCGTATCTTCACACTGCATGTAAATTTACCCGAAATGAGCGTGATCTAGAAACACAGTTAAGCAGTGAGTACAGTATGTTATTCTTCTTTTCTCTAGTCCCTCAATTAAACAACTTTTATACGCGAGGGATGAGCCGGCCGTCTCGGCGATGTAAACAAACTGAAGCTACGGCTAGGAAAAGCTCGGAAAACATCACAAACAGTCATGACTCACAGTTATTTTCAGAGGATATACTTAATTTCTATTACATTTAAGTGTGAAAAGTCACAAGCCTTTAAACATTGGTATCAAAAACACTATTAACAACAGGTAAACAATAAAAACAAATTATACAATACCTCCTACAGGTAAACAGTATCTGCTTTAATTTATCAGAAGGCAGTTCAGCACACAAAGACGTACCTTTTTCCAGTGATCTCTCTGATTGGACATAACCAGGAACCCACCGTCATCAATTAGATAACAGAGGAGGTCCTACAAACATACAAAAATGGGCTGCTTAAACACCATGCCTTCCAATCTTTTCACCAATCAGAGCATATTTTACCACATCATACTTCATACGAGGCACCAGTTGAGTTTACAGCCTGTAAAACTCTCTTATTCATCACTCTGGGGGTTAAATTGCAGACAAGCAGCTCTGTTTATCTATCAGATTAATTTAATAATCACATTAGTACCAATAGCACATTTAACATCTGAAGATTATGGTCACAGAAGTGAGAAGGAAATACAAAACATCCTTACATCAGTGTTCACCTCACAGTCCATCTCACAGCTTCTGGACGGTCCACACTGTTAAGCAGCATGAGAGATTCAAAATTTTTGTTACTGTTGTTGGAGTAAATGAGATCCCATCAAGTCATTAGTGACTATTAGTGATACTGTACCTTGTGTGAGCCCTGTCGACTGTCCGACACGTTGCTGGCCAGGATCTTAAACTTGTCCACCCACGCCTCCAAGTCCAACTTCACTCCCACCACTGAGTGAGGACAACCACATGGTCAGAAAACAGAGAGGAAAAATAGAGCAGGAAACATTATTAAGAGGAAAAATACAGAGGTTACTCAATAGCCAAGAATCATGAATCATTTAACCTTTTATTTTTTTTACCTGAAGGTTTGAGCAGTTTTCCTCCTAAATTAACCTCAACAGCTGAAGTGACCAGAATTCCAACAGTTCCATTTTCTGCACCAACCGGGTCATCCATTGCTGGTCACAACAACACAAGTTTAAAACATTGATGGGGGGGTCACAGTCTGATGTCTGATGCATTAATGCTCAATTAAGAATTTTAAATTGAAGTTGAATTGACATTATCCACAGTCTTTCCAGTTGTGAATATAAAATGACTTTATTGACAAAAAATAAAAAATCTTAACTCAAGGTCAACTTATGAGCTTTGGACCATATTTCAATGCCTCAAGGCCCAGGTGTCATCACGCCATCAATGTACGGACCATTGATTTACAGGTCGCCTTATATATAATTCTTGATTCAAAGACTGTCCACAAACACATCATGTTAAGACACCTGCTGAAAACTGAGATGTTTCCACATAATGATTCCAACAATGAGCTTAACTCTCTCTCACACACACACACACACACACACACACACACACACACACACACACACACACACACACACACACACACACACACACACACACACACACACAGCCATCAGATCCATTATTAATGTAAAATGTTAGACTTTCATTCTTGCACTGTCTCTCACATGATCTGGATGGAGCTCTGAACATGTAGCCTTTGTTGTCGAGGCTCCGTCTGTAATAGTTTGAATTGAAAGGTTCAGGATCCTCGTCCCATATTTCAGCAGCTCTGTACAAACACAACACAAATGATTAAATGTTATCCGAAAAAATAAACAGTTTAGGGACAGAATTAACCTAAAACTAAAAGTTAATTGGATATGTTACTTTGTGTAACTAAAGTAATTTCTCTTACTATCAAATTTACTTACATATTGGGAAATACTCGTGTTATTCCTCCATCAGTGGAAGCAAACACAGCCAGGAAGCCGTACCTGTAACAATTATATTTGATTTAGTTTGTTTGAAGCTCTGATATCATTAAAACAGATGGCTTTACATTTGCACTGAACAGTGTTAAAGCCCAAGTAAGGAGTTTTTAACGGATTATGAAACAGATTGAAATGAATAGTGATGCCTCCTTTTGACCTACAAAACCAAACAAGACCATCAGCGATCAGATTGACTATTTCTATAAAGCTCTTATTAAAGCCTGAAACCACTAGCATAGGATGAGTGTCAGATGAGACAGTTTACAGTATGCTAAAGAAACAGCCTTTCTTTTTAACATTATAAAAAGCTACCATGAGGGAAATATTTGACCGTTAAAAGAGAGCAGGATGAGATTTTTTGGTTTTACAATTCAAGACAATACCAGCAAAGAAATTAGGGATAACACTGTGGCCCCAAAATCAACACAATCACCAAAAGGTGCTCACAGGAGTTTATAGCAACAACAAGTTGACTCACGAGTTCAAGTCCTTGTTCTTCCAAACCCGAGAGGCCAGCTGCCCAATGATCCGAGAATCCAAAATGAGGTTGTGGATGAGGCCTTGGTCACCTGACACACAACACATGGGGTATGTTATCTCATCTGTGTGTCTGCAGCAGTGGCAGATGTGTAAAGTTCTGTATGCTGTAAAGATGCTCACACTCATCAGATTCTGGAGAAATGTCCAGCATGAGCGAGAGGAAGTTCTGCAAAAACTGGGTGTTGTTATCCGAGATCTGCAGGCGTTTGCAGTATTCCCTGGAGAAACAGAGGGCAGGATTAATACAAACAGACGAAAACGGAGTAAAATCAGAAGAAGCAAAAAGAGGTGGTGGTCACCTTGGAGCCAGAAACACATGTCCTGCAGACTCAAAGGAGCTGGGCAGCAGTGACTGCATATCTGTGTCAGAGACAGAGGCTGATGTTAGTATTTGAATCACATATTTGTGTTGTGGTCTGATCAAAGAGAATCTTTAATGCTCTGCCTCTTTGTACTCACACTGGAGCTGCAGCATCACATCGCTCAGGTCTGCCTGGATGAAATATTCATTGTAGGGGGGTAATACCAGACCCAGACTACAGGGGGCAGCATCCAAACAGAAACATGTTAATAAAGATACAAGTGCAGTCTTTTATAGCCCACAGCTGCATGTTTAACTAACAACATAAAAACAGCTCACCTGTAATCTGTACCATTGATCGGAGTCCAGGTATAACCCCTGAACACCTCATCGATGTATTGCTGCAGTTAACAAGAAGTTTGTGACAATTCAGCCAAATAATAAAGGTAACAAGAATTTTAATGACTTGAGTCAACATTTGCGTGATGTGGCTTTTTGGAGGTTTGACTGTGTTTATAACAGAAGTTTAGTTTAGTAGTTTGTCCAATTTACATCATCAAAATGTCTCTCAAAGTTCAGATGTAGTTTTGGGCAATTGCTCAACAAATTGAAGAGTTGCTGCAGCCAAAAGTTTGACAATTCAGAGTAGGATTTTCTACAACTGTCACTTTTTCTGCAAATCAGTTTTGTACATATGCATGGGAAAAGTCTATGTTGAAGATTTTAGTTAAATGTAAACATTATACTCAATTTCTTTAATAACTAATTTGTAAAAAAAAATGCAAAGTGACAGGAACACTGTGCTTCTTACTGTACATGTTATGTTTGTCAGGCTGTATGTTACAGTCATAGTCTGACAAACAAGCATAACAGTAATACAGGATCTGGATTTAAAATCAATACTTTCCAACATGTAGAGCTGTTTTCTGTGCTTAGGACAGCAACTTTGACATAGTGAATATCTCTACAGTGTTTAATAATTTAAGTAAAAATGTTTGGATTTCACTTTTTACTCTCATTTCTACAAAGCCCCCCTGGGGATAACTGAGAAGAAAGGAGATCTGTCTGCGAGGATGGAGACCTGAGAGCAGACAGTTTGTAAATTGAGAGCACAGATTTACATACAACTCTTTCTCCTAAGATTAGATTAGTAGGTTAGATAATACATTTCACGTGTCATGGACCAGGTCTATAGTCTGTTCAATGTCTCAGATACATGTCTCAGATGTCTCAGTACATTTTTAATTGGAACTAAATAAAAAGAAACCGTTTGCCCATTTCTTAAAGTTAAATTTTTTAACTGATAAGATCTTCTTGTTTTAAACACACATGAATGAACTCTAAATGACATCTTCAATCTAGCTGAAAAGGTTTAACATGAAGCTTTCAAGAAAGAGAATACTTGCCTCATCAATTGACTTGATAAGAGTTTTGACCTGCATTTCACCTGGTCTCCCGTCTATCATTTGTCGCCGGATCTAAAGATGAAAACAGTCTTTTTTTAGTCCAGAACACGCTATAAATATATGTTTCATTGGCCTCGTTTACTTGAAAAGATCACCACAAACTGTCTTGAGGCATATCCTGTCTCTTCGGATTGGTAATAATGTTTGACATGAGCTAAGCAACAGCAAGGAAGAGGAGATTCCTGAAACCTAAAAGTCCCATTAGTCACTAAATGCTAACCTCCTCTTTATTGCTGTCCTCCACCTCTGCATCCAGGAAGTCCAGCGTTACAGGCTCAGGGAGGTTCACCAGCTAAGAGGAGTCAAATGAGAAAAATACAATTTCATTCAAATCAAATGTAGAACAGGTACATCAGCATCATAATCATCTCGAACATAATCAGAGTTTGAAAGTCTTACTTTTTTAGTGAACCATATGCCTGTCTCCACTACCTGCATAGTAATGTGTTTTTTTCTGCATATTAAATATATACATCACCCTAGGCTGAAGATTGGGGTGAAGGAGAAGATATCCATTGGGATCAATGGCAAATATGTATCCATTGGCTCCAAGCTGTTAAAAAAGTAGTGATGAGTCAGCCTGTACGCTCCATTACAAGCAAGAAGAATAATATGACTAATAGAGGTGCTAATGTGATGTACATACATTGTATCGGGGTGTTAGTCTCTTTATCTCATCAAGATGCACGTCAACTCCCATGACACCCAATATCAGCTGATTCTGGACAAAGAAAGCAAAAAAAAAAGATGATTTGTTTTGTTGTGGAGCGTTAGAGAGGATAACTGCTGTACGCTGGTGCAGAGAATACGCAGGGGGAGAAACAGCAGCAGGTTAGCTTAGCACCTAAAAGGAACTGCATCTGGCAAAAAGGAATCAAGTAAAACATTTTGATTTTAGACTTCATCTTTTGTACGAATTTACGAATCTTAGGGGCACAAGGTAGCCTAGCGGTTATGTTGCACGCCCCATGTAGAAAGGCTACAGTCCTCGTTGCAGTGGCTGTAGGTTCAATTCTGAACTTGACCCCCTTGCTACACATCATTCCGCTGTGTAAAGCTGTTAAAAAGTGAAAATAACCGGCAACATATTTACAATTTTGATAGCACTATCCATTTTACCTGTGAGTTTCCATCCATGGTGAGATTGAACACAGGCAAAGTCCCAGTTACTACCATGCCAAGACCCTACAAAGTCAAAAGAGAATATCCCCCATATAAAATACAAGTGTATGATTCAGTGGTTTTATGTTTTCTGCATTAACTACATTTGATCAAATACAACCAGAAGGGCCATGCAGTCTCACCAAAGCATCCTGATACACGTTGGTCCATTGAACCTGCTTGGCATCACTGCCTGCCAGAACCATGGGGCGTCCCAGCACATCGAGGTACTCCTGACAAAATAAAAAAAGTGACTTTACTGGCAGAAGCTTCAAAACAACCCACAACATAAGGCCATGGGGGTAATGGGTGTGTTACACATGGAGGAAGATATTTCTACAGAGCATATGAGCACCACAAGGAGAATTAGGAACAGCGAACAGGGGATCAGCTGTGTCGGGGGCACTAGACAAACCCACCTGGGTGTTTATCCTTATAGCACAGATGGAACGGATCTCAAAATAGTAACCTGGCAAGCAGCAGAGAAAAAGACAAACAAGAAAACAAACAGAAAAGAGAGGGAGAGGGAGTGTGAGAAAATGCTTTAAACCACATTCTCGCATACGCATGCACGTACGCACACACACACACACACACACACACACACACACACACACACATCAAACAAACAAGAGTAGAGCTCATAAATATTCCAGATTTTCAGTGTTAGTAGACTGGTGAATCAGTCACTTAACTCCCACAGAAAAGGGGAGCTTAAAGAAGTTCACCTGAGACCTTGTGGAACCTGATGGTCTTATCAGAATCTGCTCCATGGAAAAGTATTTCTGATTATTTCTCAGTGCAATAGGTCTGCAACTTGGGGTTACATTCATAGAAGTTTAACAAGGGAAAAGTAACTTATCCCATGTATTCATTTTTCAGTATTATTACTGCAATAAAATGTCAGAACAAAAGTGTCATTAGATATCTTCTTTTTAAGAACGACATGTAAATCCTGAATATATGTAGTTTAGAGTTTGAAAGGCCAAAAATCATCAACTCCACAATATTAGGAGGCTGGAACCTGCACATTTGTTTAAAAAAAAGTATTTTCTATATTTTATAAATCCCAAAACTTTTACACAAATATATGTATGCATACTAAAACCAAACACCTATAGTGTGATAAGGCACTAAAAAGAAGCAGGCTATAATGTTCAATGGTCAATAAGAACGATTGTGTGATTCATGCATTTCATAAAAATCACATCATTCACAAACACAGGCTGCATGTGTCATCATCAGCTGTGAAGCTCACTCACTCCAGGCGCTATTATATAAAAATATGACTTGATGCGTGTAATCAGATGAACATTTCAGTTTCTTTTTCAACTTATTTGAGACCTTCCTATTCCTGCAACACCTCGTTCTTCAGTTTGAATTGAAAACTTCTTGTCAGAACGATAACAAAAGCTGCAATTCTTGCACACATTTTCTGAGTGGCACTGAGTCACTGCATTGAGTCCTGCTTGAGCTCAAAGCATCCTCGCAAACAAGAAGTCTCCTGGAAAGATCAATGTCAGCTCCCTACAGAGCACAAATCTGATCTCCGAGAGCCAAACTGACCTCTGTTTGAACAAACAGACTTCTGAGCAGCATTGGTCTGCCTACAGAAGGCAGACCCATTAGCAGGGTCAGTGCACTGCACTGTACATTAGGCTCAGTTATTTATTCATTTATCCTCTTGTCTGGGCATCAATGAATAAATAGACAGCAGACAACTGCTTCAAAGTTTGAGCTGAGTGGGTCTGATAAACAGAAATAAAAGATACTGTGCTGAGCTAAAAATACGTCAGCTCAATTTACTTACGATGCTTTGTACATGGCAGGAGAGCAACAGACCATTTCAAGTCAGTTTTTGACACTACAAAAAAGGTCAGGACTTTGATTGCAAACTGCTATATTAACTTCTAAAAGACCTCTTTATCAGTGATTCTCAACTGGTCTAGCCTCAGGACCCACCACCAACTCCTTAATGAGAAATCGCGACCCAAATTTCAGATATTTTTTAACCAAGGAGATGCATTTAATGAACAATAGTGCAGTTAGGACCTCAAACAGTAACAGAACAAATGTTCTTCATAGACTTTTAGACAAAATTTATTTCTGAGCACACTTTCGCAACCCACTGAAAACAACTCTGCGACCCAATTTTGGGTCCCGACCCACCAGTTGAGAACCACCGCTCTATATCATGGTTTTTAAAAACATGCTAATGTTTCAATTCAAATAATTTTGTTGATAATATCTCAGTGGCAGTGATTCCTGACAGGAAGTACTTGAATCACAGGGAGCATTTCAGTATAGTTCCAATGGGATTTTGAGGTTCACTCACAATAACTTTCTAACTTTGCTCTTTGGAAACTGATTTGGGTGATAAAAAAAGAAAGGGATCACATATAAACTCAGCTCACCTTTGTTGGTGCATGCGATCCACTGCAAAGGGGTGACATCATAGTTGTGTTGACCGACAGAAAAGGTGAAAACTCGTACCTTGGGAGGAACAAATTCAAATCAAAGTTTTCATGGGTTTGTAAACGCACTGCATCTCTCTTATGTCGGATGTGACTGATAGGTGTCTGATATGGTCAGATGATCAGAACAAACCAACCGTTTTGTTGGGCCAGTTGTATTGCATGAAGACGTCCTGAGCTCTGTCCTCTCCTCCATCAGTGAACAACATGATTATTTTATTACAGTTCGCCCGAGGGACATTCGTTTTCTGTAAAAGACATTGAAATGGGAGATGAATGACAATGAACAGCAGGGTTAGTCGATACAGTTAAACTGTGAGTAATCCCCTGTCGATGTTAATCAATATGTGACTTGCATTTAACAGCTGGTTGAAGGCAAAATGAAATCCAGACTTGTAGTCAGTGGTGCCTTTAGCCTGCATCTGCTGCACTGCGTCCTTGAAGATCTTTTTGTTGCGCACGTTCGCCTGAACAAGATGTTTAAAGCAGGGCACCACAGCCTCAGCCTTCTCATTGAACTGAAACACAGCAGGAGACTCAGTTTAAGAAAAAAACTGAAATTCAGGAAACAAGCTCCAACAGAGCCAAGAAAGAGAGATGTAAAAAGATTGATAATCAGTGATAAAGGGGCAGTAAGGGAAGCACATGCTTACCCTTGCCACGTTGACGTAGTCATCGTCAGACAAAGTGTCGAGCATTTCCATCACAGAGGCTTTGATCAGTTTAAGGGTGAGTCCACTGACACTGCCGCTCCTGAGGAAACACACGAGTATCATCACAATCAAAGACACACATAGGGATATATATTAGGGGGTGGGAATCACCGGAGGCCCCACCATACAATATTATCACAATACTTGAGTCAGGATAAGATATCATTGTGATTTTAAACATTTTCTTATATGCTGAGAAGTGCGATACAATATATTGCAATACAATATATTGCGATATATATTTTGATTTAATTAAATAATAATAATAATTTAATTAAATCAAGAACTGTTTTTTCTAATAAGAAAACATTCTCAGTCTATTCATTTCTCTATATATTAACTAGAAGTATTGTTTTAATGATCTGTGAAAAAACCCCAAATTAAACTATAGCAATAAAAAACCTCACATAGAGTTTCAAAATGCCCAGTGTATGTGTGTACAGTGTACTCATTGTTCTTTTTGGTACCTGAAGAGGTGTGTCAGTGACCATCTTGACATAATGCGATGTTTCATGCTTATGAAAGTGTATTCATGAGGAGTTCTCTCTTATTCGTCCATATTCAATTTAGTAATTAGATTAACCTTGAACAGAGTGCCAATGAACCAGATATTACACCTCACTACATACAATCATGGTTAGAGAGCAGTTACAACAACAGACTACTACATGACCATGAGACTGAATACACCAGCAAAGCAAACACACACACACTGCTCTGTGATCTACCCGAGAAGCAGCAACAAAAAAGAGTGATCGTGGAAAAGCCTGATTGAAGAGTGATACCACTTTAATTTCTTTACTTTTACGTTTTTATATCTGCTGGCTTGTGACCTTAGCCTTTGATTAAAACTGGGTAAAGTAGGGAAACAGCTAACCAGGTCTAAATGTTAACGCCCCCTTTTTATTGGGGTGGTGGTGGTTAGTATTCTAATAACTGAGCAGTAAAGCAGCTTCCGGTTATACAGGGGAAATATGAGGCTAGATGTCACCTCAACAGACACACATTATCTTTCTCCTTATTTGACACTCCTTATTCCTTACATAAGTGATGAAGTGTATTTCCATAAAATGATAAACTCCCCTTCTTCCTTGGCCTTCTTTTGTCTTCTTGTCTGGATAACCTTTACCGTAAGCTTCAGGCTGTTACACATGATAAGCAGAATGAGCTGCACATTCAGCCTGTTTCCGTGCAGAGTCAGAGCTAGGTGCTCTCTTTCTCTTTTTTCAAGACAATATATAATTGTTTTTTTTTTTTTCCTTCTTTCTTCAGTTTTGCTAACGTGTGGGCTGAGGTGGATGCAGAAGCAGCTCATGTATGTGATATAAAACCAGATGAAGAGAATCTATTCACCTTACTGTTGAGTGGGAAAGAGAAGTGCAAGAAAGGTTCAGGAAAACTTCCCTGATGGATTTGAACACCAGTTAATTATTTAAAACTGAGGGAAGTGCAATCGATGCTTTTTTTCCATTCTCACAGGGACACTGACTGAAGCATACATATACTTCTTGCCAGGAAACTTCACATGTAAGCCAGGAAATAAACCCAAGATAATTATTTTGCAAAACAGAGAAATGTTCTCTTATACTTACACATCAACAAGAATGACCATATCTTTGGGGGATGAGGCTCCCTGGATGTACCTGTTAGAAAGGGAAAAGGAAAAGAGGATGCAATGCTTCAACTCTGTAAGACTACAGAAATATGACATGCATGAGATGTATTTAAAGCAGCACTGTACCAGGGCCTCCGCCTGACGTCATATAAGTCGATTTTATCAGGAGCTTTCCATGGCGTAGCTTTAAATAAAGAAATAAAGAAAGAGATGTTCAATCAATTTGAAATGACATACAGAAGTCATTCTTCATGTCCAGCATCATTAAGGAAGCACAGAAATGTGGTTGTTTAAACGTACCTGGGTAGTAGCGTGTGACACCTGTCGCGCTCCCGAACGCTTGCCACAGTAGCGACGGATCCTCCTGACTGTTCTCCATGAACACTTTCTCCAGAGCTTGTGTCCAGTTCAGTTCATTCAGAATGACCGGAGCTGATGGGAAAAAAACATGTACACCTTCATATATCGTTCTTTAAGTGTAAAATATATTGCAATAAATCACAAACACATTTGATTATCAACGCTGCTTTGTAATATAGAATATCACGTGCCTCCTTTATAAATGTCTGTGGGGATCTGAACTGCTGTGTACGAGTAGTTGACGTTGTTTTTGAAGTTCGGATCGTACACAAACTCCAGCTTGATGTGTGAAGGATTCTCCACCTCTCCTTCTCCGTCCATGGAGTACTTTGAGAACAAGAGAAAGAAAGCATGTCAGAAAAATCCTCACTAGTATACTTACTTTACTTGACCCTTTTTTGTCCCTTACTCACATAATCCAGTTCAGCCTTTGAGTCATAATAAGCCATGTCCAGCTCCTAAAAGAATGCAGAGAACATAAATTATGAGAAAGCTGCAGGTTTGACAACCCTGAAAAAACACGAGTTATCATAAGGACTGGCAAGTCAAAAGACGATGAAAACAAGACACATTTTTGTTGATTTATTATAAATGAACCTCATGTTCAATGTGGAAAAAGTAAATCAAAAAATAAATTAAGTAAAAAAGCATCTTACAAACATTTGTTTATCCATTTATATGGAACAGGCTGCTATTCATTCCTTAAAGCTACCTCTCTGTTTATAGAGAGACGGGAACAACATGTAGCATCACTTAAAGAGATACGAAAAATGCACCAGAGCTCATTTGCTCACCAGAACTGGTTCTGTCAATTTGTACTTTGATGGACTGAACTGCTTATAGGAAAACCTCGCTTATCCATTTATCAATTTTGTGCATTAAATTAACGTTCTGTCTCTTGAAAAGTGACAATATCAAACGTTTAAGGCGAGAGAAAGAACGGGAAAAGCAGCAAATCCTCACATTTGTGAATCTGTATCCACCAAATGTTTTCTATTGTTTTCTGCTCTGCACCATCACATTTTGAATCAGCTGACAGGCTGTCAAGCTTTTGGTAGAGCATCGCCATCTGTTCCACTTAGTTTTTGTGGAGCCTTAACATACTTCAGAATAAGCATGACACTTACTCAGGGGCTGCTTTGTTCCTATTTTTGGCCTGTTCTGATGACCAAATCTCATCTCCTAAGAGCGCTTTGGTCTATATTTCAATTCCACTTTTATGACAAGTCTGTGTCTGCGAACCGTCTGCTTGCTGTTATTAATACAGATCTTCTGTCTTCACATGAGAAGGTCTAAAAGCTTCCCTCCATGATCAGCTAGCGCTCTTTATCAGTCAGTTTAAAGGAGTTGAATGTACGGTGGTCTGCAGGAGTAAAGGCCTTGTAACAGCTGAAAAGACGTACATTTAGAAAAATGTGTAGCATTATAGCATTAGTTTATATAGCGCTTTTTTAGTCTTCCAACTACTCAAAGCTACCCATTCACACCCATTCACACACTGATGGTATTTGTCACTATGTAGTATCATCCATCAGAAGAAACTAATCCATTCATAAACTGCCACCGAAGCAGCGGGAGCAATTCAGGGATAAGTGTCTTGCCCAAGGACACATCGAACATATGTACATATAAACCAGAAATTGTCAGCAGGATTTAATCACATACAAAAACATCTCTTGGTTGATTTATGCTAAAAAAATGGAGTTGATTGATTACTCTAAGAAGTTTCAAATGTAAACATCTATGGCTATCTAAAAACCTAAATCGAGACCTGATTCGAACAAAACAATCAGACTGTTTTTTTTCTTCTTCATTGAGTGTGCCTGGTTGATTGTCTCTGTATGGTGGCCCTGTGATTGACTGGCGACCAGTCCACGGTGTACCCTGCCTCTCGCCCAATGGCAGCTGGGATCAGCTCCATTGCATTTGGTACAATACCATACATAACACTATAATTCATTATTTTATTTAGTCAAAGTTATGGTGCATTTATTTTGAAGTTGCTTTGAAGTGTTGTTTGGCTGCTATTGCTTGAGTTAGACTCTCAACATGGCAAGTAAGCAGCAAGCATGAACTTTAATGCTCCAGTAGAAGTTCTGAATACTATTCCCTCTTTTGTAGCATGCAGCCAAGTTTTGTCTTTTTGTCAAATTTTATTAAAATGCTGCACATGCAATACATTCTGTTTAGCTTACATTATCTATATTGTCATGTTTCTATTGTGTTTAGTTTTAATTATTTGGATTTGGAGGAGAAGCGTCAAATAAACCAGTAGTAAGAAAACCACTTGTGTCTGCCTGTGCTTGGATGGAATTACACCCTGTCTGATGTTGTTGGGCAAATGAAGCAGACCGAGTGGAAAAGTGGAATGCCAATGTGTGTGGGACTTGACAGAAGTACATGTCTGAGTGCGCTCAGTCATCAGTTTCAGCCAGCTGAGCACTGAGGGATGAGACCGGCTGACTGGTGTAAATGTTCCTTTTTCCCAGGTCATCCAATTCAGAGTCACAGCGCCCGTTTGCTCAGGATCAGTGGTTAAATATGACTGTGTTACATTTCTACTATGTGAGGTTTTTTTTGTTAGTAGCAGCAGCACTGAGTCTATACTTCATAATGGGTCAGGTCAGCTCTTCTATTTACTGTTTTTTTTAACTTGAAATGGCAGCAACTAACAGAGAGAGATAAAAAAAAACACCTATTATGTCTGGATCTTTTGTAAACCAATTTAAGTTATATGTTTGATTTCTTCATGGTTCAATATGGAGCGTCACAGATTGTATGGATAAGCTACAGTGCACTTCAGACAAAACTGTAAACATTTGTAACAATGACAGGAAGTGGTAAAACAAACAATGCCTTGGTAGGTGTAAAAACTCATCAGCTCACCCTGACTTCATGCAAGAACTATACCAGGGGGCTGTCAAAAACGACTCTGGGTAATGCCGGAGGGAACAAATTGCCTGTTTGCATTCATACATGCATCTCACCCTAAAAACTTCAGGAAGTTGTTTGGTGTTTTGTGCAAGTTTGAAAGTATCATACCATGAACACTCAGCGTTCTAATGCCATAATTTCTCTGTTTGTTCTTTATGTGAGATTGGTTTTTTTTAGATTTTCCTCGAGCAATTACTCTGACATAAAAAAGTGGGTGTTCTTCAGATACCATAGCTATCCTGTGATATTTTAGTTTGAGAGGCTGAGGTGGTTTTTTTTCAATAATCATCATTCCAGCAGGCTTCACAGTTATATGTTTTATCTTACTGTATCTCTATCCCTGTTTAAGATTTGAAACACTACCTTTATTCCATCCTGCCAAAGATGCTCTCGCTGGAGCCGCTCTGCTTCACTCGCTAACCTCTGAAATTGAAAAACAGAGAGAAAAACACAAAAGAGGAGTACGATTAAATGTCACATTTCTTATTTATGGAGCTCTCCCCCTCCAACATCCATCTCTCACCCACTATTGACATTTTTAAGACTCACCTTAAAAAATACTCCTGCTCAATTGCCTTGAATTCTCTATAACAGATCAAGCTCAGGGATCCATAACTCTAAGTTTTTGTGTTACACTGTACATAGTTGTTAACCGTTCTTTCATATTTATTGTTGATGTTGTTCTTTCCTTTGTCGGTTACTTTCTTATGCTTTGTTTTCACCTCTATTAGCTCTGTTAAGCACTTTGATCATTAGTGTTGTGTGCTATATAAATATAAGTTGAGTTGGGTTTAACAACCTTTAACAAAGCCCCCACTTTTATTCTTAAACAATGTAGCTCTGCATTTTGAACCAAAAGGATGATGTTAATCAAATTCCTCTCTGTCTTATTAAATAAGCTCCGACTACAGCCATCTGTAAGTTTATGTGATTCAAACTAACCATAAAAAAAACATTTCCACTTTATATACCTGCAGCTGAGCTTTCGTTTTGAAGACGTAAAAAACACAGACAGATCTTTGACATTTTGTGAATAAATGTTAGAAAGTTATGTTGAGTCCTCAGGCCCTGTCTTACTAAACTTAAATGCTAGTGTTGCAGGAAGTGTTTGCTTTGTCAGCAGAGTTATTTTTCCACAGGATCAAACAAACTACATCTTCAGTCTCATCCAGTGAATCTCAATCATATCTAAAACCCGGAAGACATTTGAATTTATTTATTTTTTTTTAAATCAACTTAGATATGAAAATGCAGATTTTCATTACATGTAATAAAAGTATATCTCAACTGAAACATTACTCTATAACTCCAAATTACACAATTAAGTACTGATATTGTTTCAATTGTAAGGAAAAAAATCAAACATTTGTGTTGAAAACAACAAAAGACATAAGTGGGGTAAAACGCAGCACAGTGAGTGGGGTCAGCTCAGTGTTCATTTGTAAGAATCTCATACTCACATCGAGTGCTTTGCGTTTCTTAGCCAGGAGTTTCTCGATGTCTGAGGCCACCCTCTCAACTATCTTTCGAGGCTGATTCTTCACCAGAGTAAACCGCCGTCTCTCCTCGTTGTAAATCTGTACATTTTTAATGGACAAAGTGAAAAAGTGAGAGCGATAATTGATGCACCTTCATCCTATTAGGGTTGGTTCTGCTGACATAATCTCCTGCTATTGATGACTTGTAACCTTTTACATATTGTCTTTGCTGACTTGACATGAATCTGTTACCATTAGTGCAGGTTATGGGCGGTGGGCATTGTCTGTGTGATGGTTTTTGATGTTAGAATTTCAAAGTTCTGTCGGCAAAACTATAAATTGTAAATTATTTTTACAAAACAAAGATGTGAAAATGCCATGAAATGATAGCATTCTGGTGCATGAGCATACTGAATTGATTTTCTTAATTGCTAGATAGAAGAGGATACACGAGGAAAGATCAGGATAGATCTAAGAAAGAAAAAGAATGATACATTTGCACTTAAAATCAAATGATGTAACAAGATAACATAATCAGCCTCAAATCACACATCCTCCTTTTTAACTGCACAATTTTCAACTCAAGGTGAAAAAAGGCAAACTTGCGTACAGAAAAAGCATTTCATCGAACCCACAAGTGAGGTATCTGATTGAAACCAATCAATAACCCTTCCTTTCATGTAAGAAAAGCTAATCTGTCCACGAAGCTTGCAAGTACTTTGAAAGAACCTCTGCTGAAGCAAAAAGAGGAACTGTCATGGCTGTTCTTGTCACATTCAGGATTAGCCAGGTACTTTTTCTTTTGTATTCTTACTACGCAAACATAGCAGCAGCTGTATATTATTGCACACAGACACCATGGGGACTGGGGAGTTCACAAGGTTTATGATCATCTGATCTGATGCGTGAGTCTAGATACCTGCAGCACTCTGATATAAGCTCTCTGTCTGGTGTGTTTTTATTTGTCAGGACAAGATGAAGAAGAGAAAGAAATGGAGACAGTAACCTCGATGAATTCATTTTTCAAACATGGAAATATACTATATGGAAGCACTCTCCATAAATTAATTTTAGAGAAAATCAACTTCATGACATTATTCATGCTGTGCTCTGACCAGATGCTTTATTGGCAGGCAGTGAAGAGCAGGGTGTTTCTGTGAAATGTGTTCTGTCTGAAGAGGTGATAAGTTCTGCTTGGACTGAATCCAGTATTGAACTGTACTAGTGTTAAGTCCAGACCACGCTAACCGAGACCAAGACATCCTCGTGCCGAGAGTGCTCCAAGACCGGGACACTTAGGAATCGAGACCGAGTCGAGACCAAGACCATAAATATCACTGAAAAATCCTCATCTTGTGTGTAGTGTGCATTTCACTCACTTAGACCATAACAGCGGGAAGGTTGTGGCCATAAATGGGGATTTAAAATCTAATTATGAATTAAAGTTAATTGTTCTTTTAGAAAGGGGCACTTTCCTTAGAATCAAAGTAATGATGTGGGAAAATAGCCTTACAGTGCTAAAATCCGGAGTCTGCCCAGTCCGAGACGAGGCCGTGACCTTCAGTGACCTTCAAAAAGTGACCGATTTCGAGGACTACAACACTAAGCTGTACTACGGCCAAAGGCTGTGAAGCAGATCAAACCTTTAACAAAATGAATAACTTTATATAAAAAGGACATATAGGACCTGATAATATTCACTTAAACAATCACCATGTTGTTTTCAATTAGTTTTCTTGAATTCAAGTGGGTGGATTGCAATTAAAGTTTAGCACAGGTGTACTTGTTGCCCTTAAAGTAAATTGTTTGCACTTTGGTGATTTGAAGACTTTTTATCTTCATCTTCCATCATCAGGTCAAAATTGCAATTTGAATATCAAAAATTAATTCAAAATAACTTATATGGGTGCTGATTCCTCAACCAAAAATTGTATTGGGAGTATTTCAGGACATCACACCAAAATCTTATATTTTCACTTTTTTCATTGCTGCAGACGTTTGGAGTAAGGCCCTTTTTCAGTGGCTTCAGGAAAACAAACTCAGACTCTGTGGGAATAAAAAGGTGGAAATATATGATTTTGGTGTGCTGTCCTGAAATACCTTTGGTTAATTAAACCATTTTATGAAAAAAAACCCTTCACAATTAGGCTAATTTTACCTGACAAGGAATTCGCTTTTTTTTCAAATAGTGCATGGTGCAGCTTGCAGAGAACAAGTCATGCAGCTTACATCATGAAAACACAAAGTCATATTTATAAACAAAAAAATCAACAACAACAACAGCTGCGGTCATAAAAATTGTCTTGGAACTTGTTTTTTCTCTAAACTATCTCTGCTTGCATGAGTCGCAATGTCACTTAAAGCTGCACTCTCATTGGTTGCACATTGAAAGCTCAGTGCTGAGGCCAGGTCAAAACCGATATGAGCAAACAGCACTCAGTATTTTGGTGGCACTACACCACTGCTCTTTCTTACATCTCTTATAATCAAATGCATGCTATCACCATTGACACAGTTTGTGAACGGGATGACAGACATTAGAAAAATGTTTTCAAGATTTCACATTAAAACACCACCATCAAAAATGTGTCCTGCCATATCATGTGAAAGTAATCCAAGTAGTAAAAATAGATTATATGAAGAGCAGGGCTGTATTTCTGTAGCCGTCAAAAGTGTCTTAATGTGTAAAAAGTCAAATGTAAATTAAAAATGAAAGTGTTTCCTAGAATAGGATAAATTGCTCTGAGCTTTGGGAGTAGAGTAATTTCTTTACCACATCCAGGCTATTTCAGGAGGATGGAGGGATTAATGTGGAGGGGATGAACAAGTGAGTCTAACATGAAGGCATTTGTGCAGGCTGCAGGCTGACCATCTGCTCTGCTCTGACACAAACAGAGAGGACACGAGCGGCTGCTCTCTGCTGAGGGAACGCCCCCACACATCCTCACCGAGTGGGTCTCTCTTGCCCCCTACAGATAATCTTTGGTCCTGGTTTCTGGCATTTGCTTTTTCACCAGGGAAAGGACAGCCATTCATAAGAAGACACCTGTTAAAGCCAAGATATCAAATAATCTTGATAAAGTTCTGGCCAATAAAGGGACATAGTGAACCAAAACAGTGAGAGAAATCAGACATTTAAAATCAGTGTAATATTAGACCAGGGTTTAACTCCGTGATACTGCTCAAGCTACAGCAGAGATCAGTACAGTTACGTTCAGTTTCAGGCTTTGCTTTAAATAATTGAGGACAATTTTCAACAACTTGTTTTATTAATGGTTTATAAGAATAATATTTTCTTAATTAATCTATAAATACAGTCGTTTGCAAACATAAGCTAGAAAAGCTCAAAGTGACATATTAAAATGACCAATTGTTTAGTTTTTTTTAACAAGAGTTAAAGACTTGTGTGATGCAGCTTTGTGGCATAGATTTCAAATATTGTCCTAAAATATTCAAAATGATGTGCCTCAACATGGCAGAATCGGATATGGCTGCAGCCTGAACGCCTCTCGCCTCACGCCCGCTCGCCTCACGCCCTTACGTGCATATCCTCAGCTCTCGCCCAGGCCTTTACAACTGTACGTAGACATGTTTTCAGTGTATGATGTACATGAATGAAAAATGAAAAAACAGAAAACCCCCAAAAAGGCATTATATGATCATATTCTGAAATATTTGGCTAACTATTGATAAATGTAGGTGTTATTAAGCCCATGACTTAAGGAAACAAAGTTGAAGATATTCTAAATGTAACCAGCATGTGTTCAGGCCTCTCTATTCATTTGTGGGAATAATAGCGTTCAAGATTGATAATTAAAGCAAACAATACACAAAGTACTCAAAAAGAAAAAAACATGGCAAAGACATATTCCAAAAAGAGGATATTTTCTAGAAACTGATTAAAATAAGAGCTCTAAGTGTACTTTTTGCATGTCCATTGAAAACAAAAGACAAGTGTCTTTGCCTAATCCTTCACAAGAAATCATTACTTTTTTTTGTTGAACCTGCTAAACTTCAGCTGCTAAAGCTAACAGATTAATAGCTTTTTTGCACACTGAGCTTTCAGCTCAGTGCATCTTTTTTATTGAATTAAAGCACTGCTCCGATGAGTAAGACATTAATACTGTAAAAAGAGAGAGACACACTCACCCCTTTCAACTGCTGAGCCCCAGTGATGTGTTGAAACACTCTGTCAATCTCCTGCTCGATGCGCCGGGCCCAGTGCATTATCCTGTGGAGAGACATCACAGGCTGACTGACACACAGCACAAACAAGTGGAAAACATGTGTGTGTGTGTGCGTGTGTGTGTGTGTGTGTGTGTGTGTGTGTGTGTGTGTGTGAGAGAGAGAGCACGAGAGAGAGAGAGAGAGGATTTTACAGTAAACATTGGTGATTTAAAAATAACCCCATCCATTTACATCCTGTGCATTGTTTAAATTATTTATATAATACAAATTACTTTTGGTTCTTCATGATGTATAAAAATGTGCTTCAACAACAAACATAAACAATAAGGCACAGTCATCCAGTCCTTTGATATGAAGCAGGGTGAACACAGACATTTGAGAAGAAGACCGTAACACGTAGGACAAAAAAAAGAAGCTAATCATGACTGAAAACGGCCGTATCAACTACAACTTTTCAAACTCACTACAATGTACTACACCATTGACCGTGTCAAGTTTCTGTCCAATTTTCACTGACATACAAAAGGAATGGAAATGAAGCAATGGACAATACTGGAGTGAGAGGCTTGTTGGATGTTTAAAAGCCAGGTAATCAGCTTTGGTGACTCATCATCATAATTCTGACAGTGTATTTCCAAAGCAAAGAAAACTAACAGATTGATACATTATTATTCAGTAAGTATGTAAATAGCTTTTAAACCTCCTGTGGCTGCCATGGATCACTCAGTGCAGATGGATTTTCTAGCAGAGCCCCGAAAATAGAGCAGCTAATGAGGCAGGAGATACAAAATATCCACCGGGTTGTGGGAGTTAAGGGCTTCAATAAAAAGGCGGTTTACTTGTGGCTCAAGAGCTGCGCAATTTAACAACCTCTGGCCTTATCAAATCAAGGTTCAGATGATTTACACTACTAAAGTTGAATTAATATTTTTGCTCAGAGACGTTTCTCTCCTTGTCAAAAGCTTTTGATCGTGTGTTTAAATCTGTTCTTCAGAAGATCGCATATATTCACAGACTGCAGTCAAATGTAGATTTTGTTTTTGCAGTTCCACAGACTGTTTAAGTATATATCCAATACTCAGCTATGACCAGGATGATATGAAACTTCATTTCGACACCACGTCGAGTGCATTTTTTAAAATACTTCCAAGATGTTAGCATTTAGCCTAGATGAGGTTCAATGCAACTCTAACTATGGTGGCTCTGAAGGTCAAGTGCAAAAACATTTCACTAAAGCATAAACATTTAATGAAACACAAAAGTATTTCACAAAATGCTAAAATATTTCATGACACATAAAGATATTTCATGAAACGCAAAATAACTTCATGAAACTGAAAAATGGAAAAGTTAGTTCTACACTACTTGTTTGTGAATGGACAAAACCTAAGACTGTGTCCGAAAACACGTGCTAACATATTGCCTACTACATAGCCTACTGAAACAGGATACTGCATACTAATCCGACCGTTAGAATGTCGTTAGCACATACTAAACTACAGGTCACATGGCATATTTCCAGTCTGTATTTCCGAGCTATAGATAAGCTAGCATCAAGCTAGCGCCACTGTCATACCTTAAATAGAATTCAACAACAACATCAGTTCATTGCTAATACAGCTACATGGTCATTTTCATATGATTTGACAACATATAAAACAAATTATTACAGTACGGTTACTTTCAACTATGCTGCAAGTAAGCTGACTGACAAGCTCTGCTATTTGACTTGAGTGAAACATATGGTGTTGTTTAGTATGACCAGTGTGCTCCTGTATCACACAAAATCTAGTATACATCTTAAATGACCAACCTTTCCATGGTTGTGCACATATTTGGGTGTGTTGAAGAGGTTTTTTAACATACCGTATTCAAGTAATCAGATGTCTCACAATCCTGCCAGACAAAGCAGCATATGGTGTTTCTCTAGAAGTTTGAGTTTCAGTTCAGTTTCTTTTTTTGTTTTTTTTAAGGCGGAAACCAGCCTCTTTTACGCTTGCTCACTTTGACCCGCTCCCTCTCCAAACCACAAATAAGCCCAAGTACTCACCCACTCACCCGTACTGTAATTCAGAGCTATAAATTGTGATATAATAATTCTATAAGATAACTGATAGTGCTATCGACCACCAAGCCCACAAATAATAATACAGACAGTCCAGTGTCCATTACGCATGCAGACCGAGTTAAGGCCAATCCAGGATAACCCTGATGACATCTCTATGGCATCCAGTTATTTTCTCACAGTTTGGAAAGATCCCTCCAGAGCCACAGAGGACATTATATGAATGTTTTCACTGGCCAGTTTGTAGCCTGCCTAAAGAAACCAAAGGTCTCGATTTAAGGTTCATAGAGTAGTAGTAAGAAAAATTAACAGCCAACTAAGTAGCAGTGAAAGTATTTGTGACGCTAGGCTTTCTTCTGTGGTAACCTAGAGGCCACACCCTGGTGCTAATCAGGGTAAAATTAATAGAGGATGTTATACTCTCTAGAAATAAATGAACAAAACTCTTAATCGGCTGGTCATTCTCACTCATCCTCAATCCTTAGTGCTTTTGCTGTTCGCATTGCCCTCAACAAGCAGCTCTGTTTTATTGTGTGAACTTGCATAATTTAACTCTTGACATCAGTTTTGTGTTCTTTCATAGTGTTCAAAAAGTTACCTTCAACATTAAATTTTTACAACATTTACTTATGACCCAGTCATCAGATTGGAATCATTATGTGAGTGCTGAAACCGAGTACAACAGCACTGGGACCTTTAACTATGTGGATCATTCCACCTCAGCCATGTGTTCAAAATACTCTTAATTAGCATTACAGCAGACATTAGCTGTGTCCGAAACCACATCCGGACTGCAAACTACATTCTCAATATGATGCATACTAACCCAACCTCTAATATGTCATTAGCAACATAATAAACTACGGGTCACGTGACTACATCAAACGTGTATTTCTGGTCCAAGCGACATTGTGATCCAACAATAATATACACAAGTTCAATACTAATAAAACAACATTGTTATTTTAGTGTTATTTGACAACATATCTAGTGTATTAAAGTACAGTTATTTTCATCTGTACACCACTTGTTAGCTGGCTGTCGAGCTCCAACCGTCTGAGAGCTGCAATGCTTTTTGGGGCGATTTTATGATCAGTGTGCTCCCATATCATACTTAAAAAGTCTGTCAAATCGAGTATACATCATTTCTGTCATTCACAAAACTACATACAATGATTTTAGATTGACTACATACTCAACTCTTGGACACTGGCCACTGTTTTTTTCTGACTGGTCAAGCTGGTGCCTCAGAATCACACAGGCTACCAAAGCAACAGTCAACCATAGACCTCCAGAGAAGGTATAAAATACAAAGCAGCTGCACTGCTGAAATGTATGGAAACACAGAAAGTAGCAACGATGATGGAAATTGCTTTTGTGTTGCTTGGCAACAGTCCAGTTCAGTTCAGGTCCAGAAATAGTTGTCTTGGAGAAGCCAAATTAATTATTAAGAAGGAGAGTTAGTTATTTATTTTTAATACTGTATGCTACAATATCACAACGAAGGGAGTTGTGTTGTTCAAAATGTGGTTATCTCTCTCACCCTGCAGCCGCATGTCTAGCACCAAGTCACAGTTGTGCTGATATTTCGTACTACAGCACTTCCTCCTGAGATATTTGCTAAAACTACAGCCCTGGAACACAAACTGTTTTCAGATGCCTAAAACTATAAATTATTTAAATAGTTAATTTAAAAGCAAACAGATGACGACTAATCACTTTTGGAATATTTAGTCTCGAGCCAGCCTGAAATCTATAGGGAACCTTATCACTCACATGATTTGAACTACTACAGTTGTTAAAAAAGAAAATGTTGGACACAGTGTATGTAAATGATGTTTAGTACACACTGTAAGCCACACAAGATATAAAATATGCACTATGTTTACCTTCTTCTAAATGTGTCCTCTTTAATATAAAAACAACTTCATTCCAAACAGCTCTTTAAATGCAGCACTACTGTCAAACACACGCTGTCAAAACAAAAGCAGCACCCAGCAGCAAAAGGAATGATGTCTTTCATGTTTGGTACATCAATTCCATGCTGAATGGTATGCCATAAGCCACAGGGGAAATAAAAAACATACTTTAAAAGACTGAAGATATTGTAAATACTGTAGGATTTCTGCCATAGACGCTTTCATGCTCAGTCTTTGCTACCCATCTCCAGAAACTCTGAATAAATACTCCAGTGATCTATGAATGAATATTTGCATCTCCCTCCTTCACCTGCCTCACCTCAACGGTTAAACCTTCATTCATTGACTCAACTAGTTGCCCTGCTGTTTAGCCTGGACAAATGCATGGGAAAGAACTATGTACAGGAGAAGCATTTATTTAAGCTTTCTACCTCATTTGTTCAACTAGAAACGATATCTTTATATCAAGAAAAATCGCCCTGAATCCTGTCAGTGCCCAGAGAGTCAATTCTTTATTATTCAGACAACTCCCAGGTGAGTTACAAGACATTATTGCATTTAACATGTGAAAGATTCATAGGCCTGATTATAGAAAGCCCTCTTTAGAGAACTAGACTGTTAAAACTCCAGAAATGTACCTGTGAGTTACAGAAAAATGCCACGCACGTTAAAGGGCCGGTGTGGAAAAACTGAGATGTAAGGTTTTTTCTGCTGTTTTTGAAGGCCTATTTAAGACATGACTGAATACTTCATAAAGAGTCTCTGACAAGCAAAGCAAGATTTAAAAGTGAAATTATTTTCAGCTTGAGGCAGTGGAGGCAGCTGCAACAATACGAAGAAAAAGAACAAACAAGAAAAGGAGTGCCTGGGAAAAAAAAGAGCAGCAGATCTTTAAATAAGCCTTTTAAAAAACATATTGTGGTTGTCATTAAATTGAATTTCCCTGATATGTATCACTGGGTAGGGGCGTGTTAATGTGATTAATGTAACTCTTAAACCAACAGCACCTTTGCTGATCAAGCAGTTTTTTTTTGCTCCAGAGATTTCCAAATATAAAACATTACACATGGTGAGTCAGCATCTTGTGACTCACACTATTGTTATATGTTATGGTCTTATATGGCAGAAATAAAATGTATAACATAAGGATATAAATAGTATTGGAAAAAACAATTTGACGCTGTTTTCTAAAAACTATAGACCTGAAATATACATTTTTAAAACCTGAATGAGTCTGAGTTTATAAATTGTATCACACAAGAGGAGTAACTCTGAATGTATAAATATATACAGTAAGTACATGATAAAGTGCATAAGCTCAAGGAATCTGCACATATACAAAAAGGGGTCCTTTCATCACTCAGGATTATTAATGGGTGTAGTTATAAGCGATATCATCAGTGTGTGTTTCTTAACCAGTAAAAGAACGTTCATGTCATGTCAGTTTACGGTTTGTCACGCTATATGAGAAAGTTCTCATCAAATATTTGTCACTTTCTTTGTCAGTTTTTTATGGTACCAAGTAGATGCATTTCAAATGCTTTTAAAGCCAATAGTTGAGATACGTTTCACATTTTTACATCTTTACATTTTTTAAGCTAGTAGATGTCGCCCTTTAGCACCAGCATTCAACCAAAACAAGCTGCTGTTTGGCGACACCTTCGCAATTCTGAAGCCTCCGCTCTCCTCCAGCGGCTCACCTCCAACCCCTCTCCACTCACGTTTGCGTGAAGGAGTTATCAATTGGAACGCACCATAATTAAGCAGTGCAAGCAGCGGGCAAAATTGTCCATTGCTCGAGCTGCAATTGCCTGTGGCCTGCATTGTTGTGTTAGCAGGGTTAGCACACTTTAGTTAACTCATAGCTTTATATTACACATAAAATTGTGATCTAAACACATGTACGTGACATCCAATTAAGCAGTGAGTTGGCCAAGTTATTCTTCTTTTTTCTGGTCCTCGACTGAAACAGCTTTTATACGCAAGGCCGTCCCGTCCATGTAAACATGATGTAAACACGACTCCAACAGTACAGCTGGCGGGACTCACGCTTCTCACTCATTGTAGACAGTCATGACTCAGAGAGACATTTACAGGATAAACTTGATTTCTACTGTATTTATGTATAAAATTTCACACATCCTTCCTTTAAAAACATAACTTTAAAGAGACACATCGTCAACTTGTGTATTTTATCTGTATAACTTTATTGCTCAGAGAAAAATATATTTAATTTGGTCTTGAGCATGAACACATTGAAATATTGTTTATTTGTTCTTTTGGTCAGCGTTTTCAGTGTCATTTGCTCTGATTATTTGGACTTGTTGGTTTGAGAAGGTAGTTTAGTTTGAATTTGGTTCTTCATTTTGGATGAGATCACAGTTTTGACACAGACAGTCAAGAGCGGACTGGTGTAACGCTGTGCTTCAATTCAATTGAATCATTACATTTAATCTACAAAGCAAGGGATCTTTTCTTTCTAAATTGTGCATTTGTCAGGAGAATTACTGAAACACTACAAGCTCCCTTTCATGTCACTTGGTGAACTGGTCAAGTATTGGTCATGTAACGACATTTACAAATTTGGACTATTTAAATTCAATCCAAATCCTACTCACAAACAACCTAAAGTTTCTTCTTTCCAAAAATACCGTTTTTATAACTACACTTATAGATATGATAAGTTTCCATCTTTATTTGACATTTGTGCATACTGTATGTAGATAAGGATAAAGTGCCTTCTGTTTTCACATGTGTATGCTATTTTCTGTGAAATATTTATAATTATTCGAAGAAGATACAGATCTGTGTCAAGGTCATGAAGGTCGACATGCTCTGAGTGCCACTGTAGTTAATTAATCATTACAATCACGGCACAATTTTTAACGAGTCAGTTCCTCTAGTGTTCAAGATTTCCATTTAAAGTATAAAACCCAGACCGGTTATGAATAAATTAGATATGTTGTATGAGTCTATCCCACAGAGCTGCAGATCGGCTTCCTCTGTGTGAGTCAGTGCAGCTGAGGCTCAGTCCTAACTTTTACACTGTGTGCTCCATTTCCTCTCCTCTGAGCCCAGTGGGACGTCAAACAACTCTGGATCGCAGCTCTGCGCTGAGGCGGCTGTGCAGCATGCTGCATTTGTGCCTCTTCTCAGTTACCTGCTTTACTCAAACTCTCCTGAGACGAGAGCGAGAAGGACTGTGTGGTGTGACCCACATTCACTTACAGCAGAGAGAGCCACGGGTGGAGAGGGTGGAGCAGCTGAGTGATAGGTGGAGCATGAGAAGCAGATAGAACAGATGGTTATAGGCAGCTCTATGTACATGTGTGTGTGTCATCTGTCTGTCTGTCAGTCTGTCTGTCTGCCTACTGATCTATGTTGAAGTATCTCCACCTACATGGATGGAGTCAATCTCTCCATCCATGTAGGACCAGAGTCAGCTAAAATGAAATCAATATAATATTCAGCTGTTACAAAAAATATAGAGGTAAATAATAGATTTGACATTTAAAAGAAACCTTATTAAAAGACAAAAAGTGAACAAACATGATCAAATCTCCACTTCAGATGACTGTTAATTGATTATTTTAGGCTTTGGGTCTCTCAATCAAGGCATTTGAAGAGTTCCCTTGAGGCTCTGAGAACTTGTGATCAGCTTCTCTATTAAGTTCTACTTAATAATAAACCATGTGGTTCAAAAACATTTTATGTGATGCCTTCCTTTGAGAGGCGAATGTAGCAGATTTCAGCAGACTGATTTTAAGGATTTTTTTTAATGATGTCACATGATCTAGCACATGAAGTGGCTGTTTCTTTTCATGTGGGTTTCTCTCCATTTACGGCCTAGTCTAAAAGTGCACCAAAAATGCACCAACAGGGCTCTGCTAATCCACTGACCGAGAACTTTAAAGAATTTCAGACACTGTCTTATTTTAGATGTGACTGATGCTTGATCAGCATCACCAGTGTTTCTTTCCTCCCCTCTTTATCTATTTATCTGTCTATCTATCTTTTTTATTTTTAATTTTACATTATATTCTATTTTTACTGTATATATGTGTATTAGTAATTTGAGTGTTATTGCATGGCCTTGCGGAACAGTCTTTACATTTCACTGCACATCTGTATGAGCATGTGACAAATAAAAATCTTGAATCTTGAATCTATCTATCTATCTATCTATCTATCTATCTATCTATCTATCTACCTACTGTATCTTTCTGCAGAGACACAGACAGTCGGTACAGTAAGGCGGGGGAGAGGGCAAGGGGAATAAATCCTGGCTGCTGCAGTATTAATTCTTAATTGGAATGAGATGCTGTTCTTCAGTGTAGCGATTCTGCTTCATTTAGCTTACATGAAGAGACCCAGGGCAGAGGGCTGTGTAGCTGTTTCAGAGCACTCAGCAGAAAAATAAAGAGGAAAGAAGGAGGAGGACAAGGAGGAGGAGGAGGAGTAAGCAGCAGCTATATCCTACATGAAATAACCCAATTAATCATAAAACACACACAAACATGTACACTCGCACCCCCCTGATTTATAGACCCCTTTCCTAATTGGCAAATACACCTCGGCACTCCAGTTGTGATTGGACAGAAATCCCTCACTATGTGCCCCGAAGATGAGTGGACCATCTGGCCTGTTCCTCCCTCCAGAGCCGCCTGATTGCAGAGCTTGGAGAAGGGCCCAGATAACTGGAGTCTCGAGTTTAGTGCCAGCTGTACTTAACAGTAACAGGTTAAAGGTCAGGAATTAAGCAACTAAGCACAGGATGCATTTAAAATCGAGAGAAAATGTCACATCTTTCTTTTCTATGCAACACACACCTCTCTCTCGCTCTATGAGTAGAACTAAACATGAAAGACTACGAAGCCGTTTGAGAGGTTGCAGGAGAGTCTTCTGAAACGAAAGGAATTGTTTCCTCTTTTCTTGGAAGCCTGCATGGAAACATCTGGTATACTCTATTACAAGAACAGCAAGGGAGAACACAAGGGGAAAAAATACAATAAAAAAAAAAACCTTTTTCAGTTTTACAACAACTGCACAGATTTAAGCAGCCTGTCACCTGCAACTTCACTGACTGTCCTTCAAAGTAGAAGTGTCAAAACGAGAACTTCTCTGTCACCATACTTTACATTCAAACAGAGGCAGAATGATTGAAACGAGAATAAAATGAAATTGACATGGAAGAAAACAACATTTGGTTCGGGGTTCAAATGTATGCTACAGCTTGCTGTGCTCGGTTGATTAAAAAATAAAGGTTGAAACTCATCGAGGAGAGAGAGAGAGAGAGGCTGCATTATTTTTCAAATGCTGCAGCCTTTATTGAATCGGTCTTAAGGCTTGTGTTGTTTTTAAGAGCAATTTTCAGATCTTCAGTGACATTAATACACGGACATGTGAGAGATGTAAGGCTTTTAAATAATATCCACAGCTCTATGCATGCCAAGTCATACTGTGGACTACACCTTACAGCACTGAGATTTAATACCCTGCCTTTTCCATTGATGCAAAAGCCAACACTGTCAAAGAATTACATAAGAGCAGAAAATAAACCAGAATGAATTTAGTAGGCTAGTATCTATTCATACAAGGCTGTTTGGAAAAGCTCAAACTTGTCTCCCATCAGAGCCCCGCTGTGTTTTCAATCAGGGTTTTACTTACGTGTATTGCTGCGGGAACGTGAGACCCTCCGCTCCAGGCCACGATGCGCTGAAAATCAAGATCATCTGAATAGATACCAAGCAGACGATGCTGCAAGAGCTTCTGCCTATCGCCATTTTCCATTAACAATTCTCGTCACGGGGTTTCGGTGCGTGAATGAAGCGCTCCGGACCGTCTCCGGGGCATAAATAGATACCGAGATGATAGCGTGGATGTCCGGCTCAGTTCCCCGACGAGTTCATGTCGGTTATCTGCTGTCAAGTGCACGCGGAGGAGGCAGGCATTGGCCGTGAAGGCATCGCGGACGGTGGGAGATGCACTAATGCAGCTGCCAAGACACTGCAGAGTCTCTCCTCCTGCTCCCACATACACCAACACCGACACCGACACCACCACCACACAGGCCGGCGCGCACACGACACATTCCTCTCTCTCTCCCTCTCCCATCAGCAGCGCGTGGGGCAAGGCGCGTTCATGTTCACCAGGCAACAGCGGAGAAGTGGAGGAATCTAGTTTGTCTTTATTTATCTCAGGGCCGCATGGGATTTGTCATCGGAATCAATTTTGTGTTTTACTCAAGACTGACCGCAGCTCTTTTGTGAATTCAAGTGTAAACCTTTAGAAGGAAACAGTTAGCTCTGAGGATCCTGCTGAAAGGTCCCCGAATGCCAATAACTCTTTAACTGATGCATCACGCCAATACCATATAGCCTACCTCTTAAGTCTAGAAGTCACCTACTTTTGGACATTTAATTAATCAAATGTTCCTCACAAAATCAATTCATACGAAATTGTAAAACATTAGATTAGATTCTAACCCAGTGCTATACCAAAGCATTTGAACCCTGTACAAAAAAAGCTTTGTGTAGTGAGGGACCCTTATCATGAGTCAAAAGTCAGACATGAAAGGGCTTATGTGGGCTAGAGCCCCTGTTTGAAGTGGCTGCTTTGATATCTCCTACTTGCTATAGTCAGAGAGCTCAGAGGGTCTTCGATTTGAGTACCTGCCATCCAATCCAATCCAAAAACTAATTTTATTCATGGCTACTTATTTTTCTCTTTGGTGTCGGCATTAGAGCTACATTAAGAAATATCAGAAGCATGTATTTCTATTGTGTGCTGTTGTATTTTGCTCTTCAGCACAGAGAAGTGTCAGTGTGCATTTGCTGATGTAGGAAGATCTGGACAGGAGCCAGACGCCCTTTCCTAATCTCCACCATGAACAAAATACAAAATACAGAGAGTAGCATGCAGAATACCAGAGAAGCAGCAACAATGCAACTGTCAATTAATGCAACTTGCAATGGGGTTCCTGATTTCAATACAATGAGAAAACTGTTCAGATAGACCCAATGAAGTAAAAGACAGAGACTGCTCTGCACTGAAAATGTAATAATGAAAGTTGGCAACCAAACTGGAGCTCCACATTTCAAGGGAAAACAAGATTAACTTGAATTTGCAAAATTGTCATAAATATTCACTCGTCATAGTTTCAAAGCAGATGTGAGTATATTTGGTGGTTGAACTGGAAATGCGTCTAAAATAAGTAAGCTCAAACCAGTTTGGATGGAAACTACAGTACAGTGAAGCCATGAGTGTGCTGTCATTTGTGCACAATGTACAGATGGAATGGAAGAGCGATCGACAATATGGTGACTGACATGGCTTCAGAAAGATGGACAAAATATATGCTATAAAAATGGTAGGAAATACCTTTTGAGATTTGATTAGCTAAATTTGAACGACAGGGAAATTCTAGAAAGTCTAAAACTTTCTTGATCAGTCTTTTCCTTTTTCTTAAAAAGTAAATCAGAATGTGATATAGACTTACTTACATCACACTAAGTGATACACAGTGCATAGAATCAGTATTTAGTATGAGTTTGGGACATGGTATAGGTCTTATTTTCACTCACAAGATGTAGTTTTTATTTACTTACAACATGAATGACGCTTCTTCTGTAAGTCTCTATACTAAAAGTTTACCAGCAGTAAGCCACATAACTATAGTAAGCACAACGGCAGGGCCAAGGAGCTGAGCTATTATTCACTGGATTTATTTATGTTTTTAGAGAAATTAAGTTCCTTTATGACATGTCAAAACATCTGTTGTTAAAATAGTTTAGTTGCTATATACAGCATGAGAATTGTAATGATTGAAAACCAAGGAGCAACAGGTAAGTGCAGTCAGTGAAGTGTTAAAAGAAGCCAAACAGCATTTTTTTCCTCATGAACGCTTTGGGGGAATCCTTGTGCTCCCCCGAGATGAGCCTGTAACTTACTAGAGCCAAAGATGTTAAAGCATATGGGTGAAAAATAAGCGCATGTCCATTGCGGTTCTAAAAGCTTGTGAATCTGTTATCCAGCATCTGGCCTATAGGAATGCATATGGCCGGGATATGCACCCAACTTCTTGGTCCCTTACAATTGTTTTAAATAATTCATGGGTTTAAAACATTAAGTGAGATCTAACAGAATGAGTAAAAAATAACAAATTCAAAAGCCAAAATTGAAATATTTTCCTCCTTAATTATTTTTAGATCAGCATAATTTAAAATAGGATAAAAATATCCAACAGATGAAAAAGAAGTGTGTTTCTCATTTATCTTTATCAGTGTCATAGATTAGATTTTATTTAATTTCTTCCAACATGTTTTACAGAAATCCCCTTTTTTTAAATCACATTTTTTGATGAAAACATAATTTTCTTTATTAGCTTATAAAGTTATTTCCAAACCCAACATTCTAAACTCTGTAAAAAATAAACTAAAAAGGGAAACAGTGTATCAGTACAATGAACTATATTGTGTTCACAAACAGCAGTCCCTGACAGACTACAATTAATTCTCGCTTAAGGGGGCTATCACAGCAGGGTTTAGCTGTAATTAAATCCAGAGGACAGTTGTAGTTGCATGCCAGGGGAGAAAGGCAGAGGGAAATACAATCCAGATGGAAGATTTACTGTATGTGTCTTCCTTCGTGCACTGCAGCTTCTCTGAATATTAACAGCTCTCCCCGTAACCAAAAAAAAAACAAAAACACAGAGAGCTGGAACTCAGTACTATGATGCTGAAGATGTAAAAATAAAGCTGGATCTGAGATTGATTTAGTGGAATGGAAGATTTTGATTTATTTTTCACCATATAGTTATACACATGTATACGGTGATCGGGATGATACAGTTCTTTCTTACCATCTTACCTTTACACTCACTTTCATCATAGGCAAAAGTCAGCCCTCTAGTTTCACTGTCTTTAAGACCTGTTTGAATATCATAACATTAATGCTGATAACACAACAGCAGGTTGTGTGGAGAGACTGCAGGAGTCAGCTTAAATCTCCACATGTGGGTAAGCTCCCTGCTTAGGTGTCCTTGACTGAGAATTGAATCTCCACCTCACCTTGTCTATGATGCCTATGTTATTAAATCTGACCCCTGATTGAACAAGCACGAGATTAAAATGATCATATTTCATGCATGTAAAGCAGATCAGGAATTTCAGGCACAACTTCATCATCTAACAAGATGCATGAAGAGTGAAAGGCTTGAAGAGGTCAAAATGCTCTATCAACACTTGTAGTATGAAGATCAACTTTATTAACAAATAAGATCGACATGTTTCGGCTTGGGGCCTTCATCAGGGTCATGTATGACGTAAAGTACTTTGGCCATGTGGCAGAAAGGCCTGCTTTTAGGTTTATGGAGTTCTGCCGAAACAGCCAAATATGAATCTCATATTGAAAAACTGCTCAACACTATGTCTTTTCACAGCCAGACATTCAGATCCTCAAAAGCTCACCCAACAGGATGACTGCCCCCTTTTCCTGGCCCTTCTGGGAGCAAGGATGTGGGATCAGCTTTTTAGCAGTCTCCCTGACGGCTCCATGTGCTAATGCTGCTGTCATGTCCTGGGGAGAGAGAAGACTAATTACTGACTGCAGAGTCTTCCTGCCAGTCCCCCTCGGAGAACCATGCACTGTTAATTGGACTACATCTCCAAAGGGAGCTGAACTGTAGATGAGACTGACCTTTACCTCCTGTAAACAGCATTACACAGCAAAATCATTTTATATTTCATATTGCCCTTTAATGCACCTCTGTTACACAACACTGCTGTTTACAACAGCCCTAATTTCATCTGTATTTTTTCTGTCAAGTTCACTTGAATGATTGTAAATAACCTCTTCTAGTGATTCAAGGAACATATTTTAGCTAACTCAGTGTAGTATGGTAACTTTACTGTATGCTAACATCTACCTTTGTTTTATTTTTTTGATTGTTCTACTCAAATGTACGTGTGTTTCTAAAATGTATGTTTTAAATGTAATTCTACTAAGAGCCAACACATTGACTGCATTGACATGACAAGGAGTCCTTCTGTGGGGCTTTGAGGTTGTACCAAAGCACAGCAGTGCTTTAAGCTAAATGCTAAAATCGACACACTAACACACTCGTTATGACAAGATTATCTTGTGTCCATGTTCATCTCCTTAGTTTAGCATGCTAGCATGCTTACATTTGCTTTATTAGGCCAACAGCCTGGGATACTAGTGATGTCATTTGATATTAAACCACAGAACAAGAGTATGAAGATTAGAGCTAGAAGATGGCATTTCTTAAAAAGTTAAGGAAACACCAATCATTCAAGTTATTTGTGTTATGTGTGTTCCTGATTTGGAAATCCACTCTTTTGCTATCTTGGATCAATAAACTGTATTTTGTCCCGGTTTTTCAAAGAAAAATGGATTTGATTAACCGTAGGCTACTTGACTTTTAAAGATTACCAAATGTTGATGACTGGCGCTCTTTATGGGGTTTCCTGCTACATTATTTTTCCACAGAGGGCGCCAAACTGTAAAATATTGGCAGGTGTTTACTGGATTATGTCATGCTAGCAAACCCTAATGTATTTATCTATCTGCAGTGTCAATGTAGCTATATAACAAACAAAATGAAAAATATTAAATGTGTGAGGTATTACCACTAAAAAAAATGTGTTTCGACCTAAGATTTCTTTTTTTCCTGAATTTTTTATATCCCTCTTCTATGAACAAGATCATCTTGATATTTTTGATTTGAGGATATCCCAGTTCCACTCAAAAGTGTTAACACAAACTAAACCATAAAAAAAACAAGAGTGGATTACCTAATCTAATTCATCATATTTTTTTAGCCTATTCTCAGCATTTGATCCAAACTGATGAATTCAGTGAACTTTTGAACAACTTGACAATGAGTAAATGTATTTCATCATGAATTTGAGTGGCAGCGGTTGTGGTAAAGCATCCTTACGATGTTGTGATATTTTCAGGAAATCAAACTGTCGAACTGCTGGCAGTAAAGAAA